GCCAATTTGGCTGCCTGAAAACAGCTTGGCAAAGAAGCCTCTAAGACTCAGCTGGTGAGTTTTAGAAGCCAGGCATTCCTTGCTGACAACACCCTGCAGTGATCCCAGCCCACCAGGGGTCCTGGCCATCAGCTCTCACAGTGCACACAGAGGTACCTCCATTGCAGCTCAGCATTCCATGAGGGTTCATTTTATTCCCTGCATACCTGTTCCACGCTCAGGACATTCCCCAGCACTACAACCATACACACCTACCCTGATAAAGATTCTGAGGGGCTTCAGCGAAGGGCTTCCGATGTCTTCTCTGTCTGGAGCCCCCAAAACCCTGAGTGCCCGCCTTAGAAACCTCAAGACAACTCACCTGCTGACAGAGGAACTTGGTGCTGCTTGGCTGCTGCCTCCGTTCCCTTCTTCCTTGTTTCTTCACCTGGCTGGGTTAGTCCCTTTCAATCCCCTACCTCAGGTCTGTGCAGCTTCCACGCCACAGCCCACTGCAAAAAGTATCAGCGAGCCGGGGGCGCGGGCAGCGGCGGCACGAGCCAGGGGGCGGTGCCGGCGCGAGCCGGGGGGCGGCGCGGGAACTGTGAACGGCCGGGAATGATTCATACACCCATCAAATCATTATAATCGGAGCCCCGTTCCCTCATCTCTGTCCTCGTTTTTCTTGGCCGCAAAACCCGATGATCCTTACTGGCTCTCGTTTAGGGTGCTTTTCTTCCACAGCTCTTCTCTCCCCGCTGAAACCTCCTGACATATTCAGAGCTTAGTTGGAGGCGAGCCCCTGAGGTATTTCCTTTCGTGCCAATGCTGTGGGATGAAGAAGTAAAGAAAGCACGTCGAGAGTTCCTTCTACCCCCTTCTTTGCTCCCTGGGAGCAATGCCGCCTGCCCTCCGAGTGTGGGACAGCACACCTGCCTGACTCCCCTCTGTCCAAAGAGCTTCCAGTGAGCAATTGCTGCAAAAACCCAAATCCCAGCATTTAGGGCTCTTGGAATGTGGCTGGGAAACACCTCGTTCAAGCGGACACTTGCCTGGGAACGATTCAGCCCCGATATCGTGCTCCGAAAGCAGGGGACAAAACTTACCTCCCTCTTTGGTTTCCCAAGCGCTCCAGTAGCAGCAGGAGGCTGCCTTTGCCCATCCCAGCCGCCCCGCGCTGTCCCGAGCTCAGCTCACCCCCCAGAAGCCGGAGGACGGGTCATTCCCCGAGGAACGGGAAGCTCCCCACGAGCCCCCGCACGGAACGGGTACCGAGCGCTTGGCAGCGAGCCCTGCCACTCCCGGGAGCCGAGCCGAGCCCCGAGCCGCCACCGCAGCCCCCCAGCCCCTCCCGCCGGACCCCGCACAGCTCCGGGTACAGCCGGTCCCGCAGCGTCCTCCAGGAACACCGGGAGCAAGCTGAGGGAGAATGGCGGGGGAAGGGGGGCGGGACGGGGTGGAGGGCAGGGGGGGGCGGAAAACCCGGACTGGATTTCTGCCGGAGTACGGAATGGGGGAAAACCCGGACTGGATTTCTGCTGGAGTACGGAATGGGGGAAAACCCGGACTGGATTTCTGCCGGAGTACGGAATGGGGGAAAACCTGGACTGGATTTCTGCTGGAGTACGGAATGGAGGAAAACCCGGACTGGATTTCTGCTGGAGTACGGAATGGAGGAAAACCCGAAATGGATTTTTCCAGAGTACGGAATGGATTTCAAAAAAAAAAAAAGGAAAAAGTGGGGGGAAAAAAGGAAAAAAGGAAAAAAAAAAGAAAGGAAAAAAGAGAAAAAAAGAGGAAAAAAGGGGGAAAGAAGAGAAAGAAAGGAAAAAAGGGAAAAAAGGGAAAAAAAGGGGGAAAAAGGGAAAAAAGGAAAAAAGGAGGGAAAAAAGGAGGGAAAAAAGAAGGGAAAAAAGGAAAAAAATTAATTTGTCATAGGGACAAAGACAAGGCTTTGAGGGAATTGCAAGTTCCCTTCTGCATAGAGAATTTTGGATACATCCCAAAATTAAGTGAAGTTTATTGGTTTTGTGTGGTCAGTGAGGAACTGAGCAAGGGGCTGAATGCCTTTCTGTCCTTAGAAGAAGAACCCAATCCCAATCACATCCCTGTTCATTCCAGTCCCTCCCCAGTCCCCATCCCAATGCCTCCCAAGTGCCCTCCATCCCATCCCAGTCCCCCCCCAGTGCCACCAGTGCCTCCAGTCCCCTCCCACTTCCCTCCCAGTTTCCCCTGTACCCCCAGTCCCTTCCTATTCTCCTCCCAGTGTCACTCCGAGTGCTCCCAGTGCCTCACCAGTTCCCATACTGCTCACACTGGAGTCGTTCCCATTGCTAATTTGACCCTGACAGGTAGACCTGGTCTCCTTTTTTAAGCGGGTAGACCTGTTCTCCTTTTCTTAGCGGGTAGACCTGTTCTCTTTTTGACGGGTAGACCTGTTCTCCTTTTTAAAGTGGGTAGACTCATTCTCCTTTTTTAAGCGGGTAGACCTGTTCCCTTTTTTTTGACTGGTAGACCTGCTCTCCTTTTTTTGACGGGTAGACCTGCTCTCCTTTTTCTGATGGGTAGACCTGCTCTCCTTTAGGCGAGTAGACCTGTTTTATTGGCACTCAGTGCTGCCGTCTTCTGAGAACCCCTGGCACTGCAGCTCGGCAGGAGTGGCACCGGTACCGCCCGGGGATGAACCGAGCAGGGTTGCCTGGCGACGGAGTGGGGCTACGGGGGGCTCGGTGTCCCGGGGCAGAGATCAGTGGCCCGGTATCGGGGGCCTGGATGGCTCCCGGGGACCCGCTGCAGGGATCTGTGTCCCGGTGGCATTCCCAAGAAGGCGGTGGCACCGGGAGCTGCGGGCTTGGTCCACCCGAGGCTCCGCTTGCCCCTGCGGGCTCCCGGGGCCCCACTCACGGGGTGGGGGGGATTCTGGAGGGGACAAAAGGGACATGTTGGGGAGAGAATGGACATTTTGGGTTAAAAACGAGGGCAATCACTGCTGGACAGGTAGGGAAAATCCCAGCCTGGATAAAATGCATTTGAAAACACACCTGTGAAACCAGTAGCTTTTCTTCCCTTTGCTCCCTAGATGTTTTCCCTAGCTTCTGCTTTTTGGAGAGGAGTGTGCTTTGGCATGGCACAGCTGTGCAATGTTGTCAGTTTTCCTTAACTGGGCAGAGATGTCAGGATCTGGGATTCTCTGGGAAATGCCCTCAGCTGGCATTTGGCTCCTGCAGACCTTCCCTGGCTGAGCCTTGGTGGGCTCTGATTCTGTGCTGGTCCTTGCACCCTCCTCCCTCCTCACAGACTCCAGCAGATTGAATTTAAGAAGGGTTGAATTTAAACTCCAAAAAAATTTAAGTGCCTTCTATCTCCTTAATGAACCATATTTCCCCTCTTCTCCCAAAGTGGAGCAGAAAAAGTGACACAGGTGACAGGAGTTGTTGGCTTGATGGACAACAGGCCATCAAACTGCAGCCTGGGCTAAAGCAGTTGGACTGAAAATAGCTCGATTCACTGCATAGTAGAGCAATATTCTTAGAGCCGTGTTTTGTTGTCTGGTGAATTAACACACATATGGACCAAAAGTTAAGAGGCTGTTCTTTACTCCCACTGCAAACTGCTTGAGAGAATTTATTCCTGCCATTCAAGAACATTAAGCAGCCTCCCCCACCAATCACACCAAAGAAATGGGCGAAAAAGTGAGGATTAATTATCTTCATTTTTACTCCCTGGCCCAGTATATACTTTCCCCGTGTAGACTAAATAAGAATTAGAGCAGAATTAGAACAATGGTTGGCAGGCAGGAGAGCACCAAACCCATATCTTCTGAGTCCATCTCTGTCCTCAACAGCCGGACTCTCACACAGTGCTTACGCTTTAAGGAATCAGAATTTCTGATAAAGCCACTTAAACCAGAGCTCCTGACCAGATCCCACTCACCACCTTTATTTCTCCGGGGACCTGAAATAGCCAGGATAACCTTTTGGTGATGCCTAATATAACTTCCAAGAGTCTGATTAAATGAGGCAGAAACTAGATACATGACTGGTTCAGAGTTTACACCTCGGCAAGATCTCACACTATTCCCTTCTAACAAGCTCATTCATTTCCACTAAATAAAAGATTATAAAAATACAGGGTTCTGAGGAGGAACTGTAAGAGAACTTCCTTTTTTAACAGGCAAGTGCACAGATTATTTAGTAAAGGAACCAACTCACTAAAATAAACAACTCCAGGAACCCAGCATCACAAAGCAAAACCGGCTTAACACTTGTTCTGTACGTTTTATGACCAGCATTAATGTTTCCCAAAGGAAATGATGGGTTGTATTGTTGGCTTTAGTCCCTTCAAGGTCCAAAAGCCCCCAAAGTCCCTGAACAGGAAATGGATCGCTGTCAGGTCTGTTTTCAAGAAGCAAATTTGTGCTTAAGTGGTTCTCTTTGTCTGGGGAGTTTTGTCATTGTTTATCAGTCACAGCACCCACAGGTGATGAGGAGGATGACGCGTACTTCCTCGTGGCCAGGAGATCCAGTATTTCCAGTATTTCCCCCCGCCGCGGGCGCCACCGCCCTGAGCGAGCCTCTCCCGGGCCCCGCCAGGCCGCCGCCCGCTTCCCGTCCTCCGCTACCCTTCCCCTCGGTGAGGGCGCGGCCCGCGGGGCCCCAAGGCGAGCCGCGGCGGGTACCGCGCGTGCGCAGGTCCCTTCGCTGCAGTGCCGCTCTCGGATCAGCGGGCAGCACTGGCGAGTCAAGAGTAACTGCGCATGCGCCGGACTGCCGGCAAGGCGGCCGTGCCGCAACACCGCTCTCCAAAACTACGGCATCGTCCTGGGGCCACGCCTGCCGCGACCCCAACACAGAAGCGCGCAGGCCCGCACTCCCCGCCGGGGATCCCTCCGTCGCCCCGGAGAAGGGGTGTTGTACTAAGAGCACGCAGAGCTGATCCAGGGAGCGTCGGCCGATGACCCTGTACTCTGCTTTTAAAAACAAAATGCCGCAGACAAGTTTCACAACACCGTGAAAGCAAGAGACTATGAGAATAGTTTTATTATTAAACGCTTATCATGACCCAAAACAAGGCACATACGAAGGGGCAGCTCTGTATTTCCTTAAACAGAGCAGCACGTTGCCGGGTTCATTGTTCTCATAGAACTTGGAGTAAGAAAACTAGTCAAGAGCAACAAGCGTTACACCTTAGTTTCAATATAAAAGCAATCCAGGATCACTCTTCTATTCAGCAGAACACCCCCAATGCTTATAACCTCACTTGGAACATTCTACCGTAGTATAGGCTGAATACCAAGACTAAACCTTGTGACAGTACCAAATCAAGTGTATTCAATTACTAGGCATGGTGTGGTTAAACTGAGGGACTCTATGGCAAAATCAAATGCCACGATAGTGTGTATTGTTCAGAGACTCATTAGCAGTATCAGACAAACATGATCCTACACCAGTTTTCTGCACCGCTCCAGCCTATCTTAACAAGCTGCTGCCATCTTTGAGGGGGTTTTGGTTTTTAATTACAGATTTTAATGGCATAAAACCAATCTTCCATTTTTACATTTGAAAGCTTAAAAAAATTGCCTCTAATTCTGAAGGGAACAAAGTTGTATTAGTATCTCACATTTCTCCTCTCCAAGAAAAGTCTCCAGAGTGTGCATCTATAAATCTGCATAAAAAGCCTAGGCATTATATGGTTCAAGGAAACCAGGGGTTTCCTCCCCAACATAATGCAACCAATCATTTTGATTCTCTGCAAAATGCTCTCCTACCAGTAATGATCACCTGAATCAGCCATGCCTAAAAAGTTCTAGTCCCAAAAGCATAGGACTAGATGCACGTTATTTAGCCGAATTTAAAAAAAAAAAAAACAAAAAACAAACAGAACACAATCGCATATTAATGACTACATTTACAGCTGGTCTGCAATATAAACTGAACGTATTCTTTGACTACCAAAATGTCAAAGGAAGGTCACCTTCAGCAGCGATTTTAAAGACATTGAGATTTGATATTTTTTAATACACCGAGCATCTAAGAAAAATGATCCATGGAAAAGTGATGGATTATATAAAACTTATATTAAAATTCAAGTTGCATTGCAGTATGTCTTGTTCATCCCTACCGTGCAACCCAGAAAGAAACTTCGCCTTTTGCTACCAAAGTCTAAGGTAAGACCAGCACAGAAAGCAGCGTGAAGAAACCAAGCTTACAAGATAAGGCTGCCGAAAGACTAAAAAAACCAAGTTTTTTTCCATTAATGAGTCGGTACAGTTTTTAACCAGGTGAATGCCAGCAAACTTTTGGCAACTCCTTCGCTGTAGCCGCACTCCCGTCCTCATTTCTCCTTCGGCAGCTCCACGGGAGCACTGCTTTCTTGGGCCATATCTAAAGAGTCCACGATCTGGCCGGAGAAAACCGCTTCCAACCGCTCATCGATCTCCGTTTTTTCCCTGAACACACACCAGAGCAACATCCCCGTGCACAGCACACTGAAAGGCAACACCTTCAGCCATGGCCTCTCGTGGTCGCTCCCCATGGACCGGCTGACGCTCCACACCCGCGGACTGGCCTTGCTGCCGGAGAAGGGAATGGGCCCCCCGCTCTCCAGATCCGCGCCCGCCGCACCCTCCGGGTCCCGCCGTCGTGCGAGCCCCCTCCGGGGCTTAGGCAGGCGCGGGGGTGGCCGAGCCCTGCAAAGACACGAGTGAGCGGCGCGGCCCCAATCCTCATCTCCAGTGGCCCCGGCCCGGCCCCGCTCCTCACCGCCAGCGGCCCAGCGTCCAGATCATCCCGCTCCGCCCCGCGCCGCTCGGAAGGGGAAGCGCGAGGCCTCCCACAGCCGTAGGGGATCACGAACAGCGCAGGAGGAGGAGCCAAAGCGAGCACGGACGGCACTCTCGGCGTCCTCCGTCTGCGGCAGTGGTGGTTCCACAGCTGGTGCTCGCAGAGTCCACTTTATTCCGTATTACATAGAGACAATTGCCAGGTATTCCCTTACCACAGTTATGCTTTTATAACAATTCAACGATTTCACTGCACATTTCAGTCAGATCCTGAACGGCTTTCATTTAACATGATCACTAAAGATGACATCAACCTTTGATTATGGGTGGGTGGTGTGTTATGCACTCCTGTGGCAGAAAACACTTTAGCATACAGATGAAATAACATGTTCTTAACATTGTATTTATTACCTTTTGTACAACATCTAACAGCACTGGTCTTGAGCTGTTTTCTATTTCACCACCTGTTACCACACCTGATCAATAAAAACAAAGCTGAGATTGGACACACATAGCATCTGTAAACCTGTGCCAAATGCCAGTCTTAGCAAAGAAGTTTTAAAAATGTTTTCAGAAACTAGCCAGCTGTTCTCATAATGGTGAGCCCTCAAACTTCCTTTGCTTTAGGGCAGAAATTCATGAAGTCAAGAATACTTGCAAGAAGGTAAATCATTTTAGTGGCATGACGTATGTTCAATTTAATTGACATTCCATATGAACCACCCAAGTGTCTTCATACAGTGTAGTTCCAAATTCCTGTGCCGCCATGCAGGTGCTCATCCTTTAAGCCATTACGAACTGTTGTCACTGCAGTTGCCAGTTTGTGACTTACATATTCAACACTGGTATTTTCAGCTGTAAAATGTAGTTTAAGACATCAGTTATTTTTGCTTTTAAACACCAAAACGTTTTTGTCATAGAATTAACTAAATAGTTTTGAAATAAGTCATCCAGAGTAAACTGAATTATGCTTTTGATTATACAGTTCTAATCTGCAATACTTAAAAGAACTACTGCAATAATTAACAGAACTACCAAACACACAGAAATACTGTGCAAGTTATATGTTAATAGTTAAAATGGGCAGATAAAATGTTTTTTAAAAATTTTAAAGATTTTTTTTTCCTAGAAAAGAAAGTCACTAATTTAAAAGAAACAGGTAAGAAAGTTTCTCAAAGCAAAAAGAAAAAAAAAAATCACTAATTTTAAGCTAATTTAATTAGCTCAAAGGTTCTTTGTTTTCTTGAAGTGCCAATTCTGAACATAAAAAGTGTAAATATATCATATCTATTTTATTTTCCTTTAACAAACAGTTCATGTAATAAAGGGCATGATGGCCTGGAAGGAATGAGGGAGAGGAGACAAACAAACAAAAAAGCCCACAAAAACCAATCCACAACCCCCAACAACAAAACAAAAAACCCCAACTTGTCTGGAATTAATCCAGATTAGCCTTGCTTCTTCATAGCCAGAACCAGTCTTTCTTTTAAAAACTGCATGTGATATGGTACTTACCTAACAGAAATCAAAGAGAGGGAAAAAGAAACAGGTGACTTAGTAAAGGAAAAAAACAATTCAAACAGATATAGAGAACGCTTCAAGCGTTACGGAAGAAGTCAGACCTCGTGGTTAACATACAGAAAGTGGAATTACTTAGATGACACTTTTATGTTATCAATGCTGTAACACTGATTTCCTTTTAATTTGGCACATTAAGGACTGCAGACAAACTTCAAGTACAACAGCAGTCAACATTTTTCTATAAAGCTAGAATTTCAAGTCATGAACAGATTTTTTGGGGGGCAAACTAAGTCCTCTTGCACAGGAATCAAAACCTTAGTACCTATTAGATACTTTGTCTACTGAATTCTTTTTCCATATAACCCAGATTATTTAATTGTTGCTATAACTGAAAACAGCATTGGGGTATTCACTTTCTGAATAGACAACAATAAAAAAGAACAATACCAAAAAAACTCACCAGAATTAGCTTTGTATGAAATACCATGCTGATCTAATAAAACTTTAAGGTTTTTTATTTCTTCAGAAAGTTGCTTGTATTCCTAAAAAAGAAAATACATTTAAAGTGGTTCTTCCACTTTCCAAATGCATACCTAAAATGGGAGTTTATAAAAAATAATGGGTCTGTGCACACCTGTTACAGCTTTTGACTTAAAAGATTGTAAACTGCTTATTCCAAAAACAAAGTGCAAATGTTAGAAGGTACATGTCTATGTTGCCAAAAGAGGAGCCAGCTTTTCTCAAGCCTGAGTGTAAAAATTAGGAGTGCTTTCTCTAACTATTTTGAATTTGTCCTCTAAGTAGCATTTTATCATAGAACAAAATAGCATCCTTAAGTTTGCTTTAGAACTAGCCTTATTTTATTTTATCATAATGCTCCTGTCTGGAAATTTGTCACCTCCTCAACTCTTGACCTAGTAACTTCATGTAACTTCAGTTTTTGTTAACTTGCAGAGAGAGGGATTGCTTAGTAGTTTTGACACTCAAAACACATACCTGAAATCTCAAGAGAAGCCCAAATTTTTTGTTGTCTTTTGGTGTTTACATGAATAAAGATAGAGCAAAAGAGAAAATATTTAAAATTCTGTGGTTACCAGAACAGCCAATTTAATGTCAATTAAGCTATGATGAAGCCAGAAAAAGTAGTACAAATTATTAAGTACTGTATTGTTAATGAGTGAGCTTGTATAAGCTCAAAACAGTAATCTTTATATGTGTATGTTCAGGTTAGCCACAGTGTATCTGATTATATATTAATTACTATCTGACGTTTTGTCTTTGCTACATTTTTCAAATAAAATAACAGCAACTTCTTCTCTGCATTATAATTAATTCCCTTCTGTGCTCTTTTTTTGATGTTCAGCTTGCACTCTTTTAGAGTGAGCACCCCTTCTACCTCTATTTTCCTTATTCCAACTCTGTTGCAGAAGAATTGTTCACACACCCAGAAGTCCTTCCAAAATGGACACAGCATAGGTCATTCTGCCTTTTGCTTGTGTAACAGCCAATGTGTCCTGACACAAGTGTGGGTAATTATCCACAGAGAGAAGCACCAGCATACGCAAGGTTGGTTACACATCTATTTGCACTATTAATTCCTTCCTATTTCCAGACTGATATTACCCAGAAAGAGTACCTACAAGGTGTTCATAACCCAGGTGCATACACTAATTCCTACATACTCCCCATCTTCTTACCGGGCATTCATCTGAACTGATTTGGTTTTGACTTAAGGCCTACAATAAAGGTATCAACTCACACTGTATGCAGAGTGTTACGTACTGAAAACAGAAAAGATAATCCCATGACAGATTTCAGATGAATCCAAAGAGCATTTACATAATGCTGCCACACTGATACTGTGATAAAGGTGGCAACTTAATTCCACAAATTTATTATTGTAAATATTATGCTATATACCTTACTGCACTTTTCCACTGTTTTGAATTTCAGACTTATTTTCTCACTCTGTTTCTCAGCTTCCTTTTCTTCTGTTGCTTTTAGAAGTCCTGCTTCCTCAAAAATCTCTTTCAGTATTTTTTTGTAACCCTAAAAAAGAAAGTTTCCAAAAGACAATAGATCGATCCACTCAACTCTGATCTCTGCTTGTATTTTGCAATGGCCATTCCAAGTCCTCAAGCTTCATTGTAGAAAACATTACAATTACCAGTTCACACAGCAGTTACAGAACACAAAGTTATTATTTGCCAACTGCAGAATAAATGCATCTACTCCAAAAGGAGAAACTGCAGAAGCCAGGTTTGGCTATTGACAGTAATTTTTTTTTTCACCGAATAGAGTTGGAAAAAGTTAGTTAATAAACCTGGTCAGTTATTAGTTCGTCATACAGAAGCTGCTCTGCTTCATCCCACTTCCTTTGCAGTGCTTCAGTCAGAGTTGGATAAACTGAAAAATGGAAGTCAAACCATGTAAAAACCAACAGCACTGTCCTGCATTAGTTAATTCCCCCTCTAGTAACATGCAAGCATATTTGTTCTAAGAACTCATTGTTTTCATACAGTACATAGTCTCTACTACTTTCAAGGGTTGCAGTTAAATTGCACTTCACACATTCAAAGTTTCTGGAAAATGCCTCTGACCAGAAATTTTTCCTCTTATATCCAACTGCAAGGCCTTGTATTTATTCACTCAATGTGATTCTGAGCTCTGCCTCTTTGTAAAATGAGCAGATACTACAGGGCTGATTCCTACAACCAGGCCAAGAATAAAGAAAAAAAAAATCCTTCACTGGGTCTATATCAGCAGTGACAATTTATTTGAGAAATATCTGTGTGTTCTAATGACTGGGATTTAAAATACACTTTGTATTATATGTTACGTGTAATACTCATTTATATCAAGGCACACACTTAAAGAACCTAAAAATGTACATTCTGAGGTTAGTGTAATATGCCAGCTGCTCCACAAATGATTTTCTAAATCTTACCTAAAAGAGAGTGGGGATGGCACACAAGAGGAGTCTCAAATGTCACAGAGTAAACACAAGTACTTGGCTCAGACACATAAGCCAATTTATTGCTCTTTCCACAAACAAGATGAACCTAAACATCAATAAAAACAAAGATGAGCAAAAAAGGTCCACATGAAACAGGACCAGCATTGATGATCAATTTGCTGTGTTCCAATGCTAGCAGATGCATTTCTATACATACTGTCATAAAGCTTCCAGTCCTTTTTCCTTTTTCCACAGAAAAAGAATCATAGCAAGCACACTGTCAAATTATTTTATCAAATGTGAACACTGCTTCCTCTAATGGGAAATGATTCCCCACCTACCATTGTTCCTTCAACTCCCAGCGCCATATTTCCAGCAAGAATGAGTAAACAGGAGGGGGAATAGGACACCCTTTAGAGCCTTATCTGACGTAAACACAGTTTGCTTAAATTTTATTTCTGACCAATGCGCTAAACAAAGAGTACAAGACAAAACAGTATAAAACTGTTTTCATTACATTTGTAGCACCAGTATTTTCTGTCTGTCAAAACAAAATGCCTATGAAAGATTTCAATCATAATATCAAAGGTCATACAAAACTATTAATTTTTTTTCTGCAGCCCCTATGGGAGATAAAGGCACCTCCACTACAGTATAGAACATTTTCACCTTGGTAGCCAAGTTGGCAGCCAATCACAAGAGATTCAACGAGGCAAAATGCAGGGTCATGCACTTGGGTCGCAACCACCCCACACTGCTCCAGGCTTGGGCAAGAACAGCTGGAAAGCTGCCTGTGGAAAAGGACCTGAGGGTGCTGGTTGACACCTCTCCTTGTCAGATTTGTGCACCAGACCCTTCCCCAGCTTTGTTGCCCTTCTCTGGACACGCTCCATCACCTCAGTGTCCTTCTTGAAATGCCCTTGGTGCTTCTTTTAACATCGTATTTAATTTCTGGGAATGCTACTGTTAACTGCCTAATTCTTTTCCCTCCTATTTTATGGATGTTCTTAGTACAATAGGCTGGTAGCTTGAATTCAACCAGCAGCTCTTTTTCTTTATTTTTCCTGACACAAATTACAAGTATATTTCTATAGTAATAATTAGAATATTTCACTCTATCAAGGAAAAAAAGAGGTTTAAGTAATCGATGAGAACGCATAAGTACACTTCTTGAAAATTTCATCCTGAATCTAGCTTCCCTCCTCCATCCATTCATGTAGCTCCTACAGGAATTTTATCTTTTTCTATCATAGCTTAAATAAGGACTTTTTCAGGGTAGGAATGTTTCAGTTTGTAGAGTGTCACAAGTGTGTGTGTGTAGCCATGCTGTCTGAATTTGCATAACCTAGGTTATTATACCTTTGTTTGTCTGGTCTTAGTTTCACATGAGTCTCCTTCCCTCATCCACATTCCAACAAATGTGTTGTTGTTAATTTCCCATTCCTGCCAGATTCTGAAAAAACAGGACACTATTTTGGGTTACTGTAAAGAAAAACTTGAACACTTAAGAAGAAAACCAGGAATACATTATACCATGTTCAATTCAAGTGTATATACTTCATTTTTGTTGTCTTAATATTTCCATTTCTTACAGCCAACACCTTACATGCAGCGTAGTTTGTTATCCGGGCTGCTTTATAGGGCATGTCAGTATCACTTTTGAGAGCACAGTTTTGGATCAACTTTCAATTTGCAAACCATTTGCACTTAAAATCTGCGTTTAAATCCAGTAAAATATCACTTATAGATCAATCCCACAAAAAACTCCATGACACTAAGTGCCCTGTGCAATTCAGATTGTTTGCAGGATTTTTAATGCTGGTGACAGCACCTAAAAATCTGCTGTAGTTCTGCTAGTCCTAAAGCAAATGATACCCTCAGCATGCTGATGTACCATTTTCCTCACATATTGGCTCACCATTTTGCATACAGAAAAAAAAGACATCTATAGGCAAAATATTTAGAAAAGCAGTGCTCTGGTTTAGAATTAGATTTATTTTACGTCTCATGATTTGGGGGTATTATAATCTGGGGTCTTTGAATATGGGAATTTTTTGAGGGATCTACACTGAGTCTTTTGTAACCTTTCATTAAACACAACCACTAGGCATAAAGCCCTCTTTTCATTTTGTAATTTTTGTATTTAACTCAAACTGAAAATAGTTAACAGCCATGAAATCTCTATAAACATAAGCCGTAGTTATACATTATTAATTTTCTCACGTGAACATATTGCAGTTGGCACTGGTTATTAATCAGTCTCCAATTAAAACAGGAGGTTAGCATTTATCAACCAAACAAAAAGAAATCTGAATTTTTCAAGACAGGATACTAGGAACTATAATGACCTAAGCTAACCCACAGAAGAATCTTAAAACTGCCTCCTTTTTACAGTCTATAAAATGGCCTGCTAACAACATAGGTAAAACTTAAAGATCTAAATGTCTCACCCTAAAATCCCACTATAGGCATTCCATCGAAAAGTCTGCTCATGCTGAGTGACATTATGAAAAGGACAAAACTCATACTTGTACCTTAAAAGAAAAGAAAAAGAAAATAAGAAATGTTTCAGACTGAAATGGAAAACTAGTTAATTCCTACTAAGAAAACGAAGACCCAAATCCATTACTCACGTGGATTCCACAAAACTGAAACACTTGCCAGCAAGCCTAAAGAGATGTGCAGGGCCTAAAAACACCATAAAATGACATAAAGGAAGAATAATGTTTTGGTTAAATTTAAGAAAGTTACTGTGGTGACAAAACTGCAAGGAGTATGTGACAAATTTAGGTCTCTGCTGTACATAAGGAAATTCTTATCCTCCGTATTACTTACTGTAAGTTCCCACTAGCCCTATACTGGTTTCCATCATAATCTTATGATGCTTACAGAATGACATGCAAAATTAGGTTGTGGCTGCACAAAGTCAAAGTAGGCAATTTGCATTGCAAACAACTGTTGCTAAATGATGAAAACCGTACAAAAAAAAAAAAAAAAGTAACGCTTGCGTATACCTGATACTGCAGACGGGGATATCTTTGGCTGGAGCCTATTTGTTTGAGGCAAGAATGGGTTATTCAACCTTTCAAAAGAAAGAAAGTTAAACGTTTAAGGCTATTACGCATCTGGACGTGGATATATCCTCCCCTACCTGTGTGTGTCCCAACACCGAGGGCCTCTGCCCCGGCCCGGTGCCCCATCCCCGGAGGAAGGGACGGGCTGGAGCGGGCGGAGCGGCAGACGGGCCCAAGCCCACCGAGTGCGGGTGGATCGCGGGACACAGCGGGCGGCCACGTACCCGAACGTGTTGGGCTCCTCCACGATCTTCATCTTCCCCGCCGAGGCGAAGAGACCTGCGAGCAGAGAGCCGTTGGCCACGGCGCACGGAACGACCCGCGGCGCCCGCTCCCGCCGCGGCCCCCGCCTCACCCAGCGCCGCTCCCAGCGCCGCCAGCAGCAGCCGGGCCGCCATCGTCCCTTCCGCGGGAAGCGGAAGCGTGCGGGCCTAGGGCGGCCGCTCCGCTCAGCGCGGCCATGGTGCGGGGTCGGCGTGGGGGCCGGTGCGGGTCTCGAAGCCTCGACACTTTCGCGGCGGACGCGGAGGCTGCGCTGAAAGGTGCGTGAGGCGCCGCGGGACGCGGGCCTGGGCCGGCGGGTCCGGCAGGGCTGGGCCTGCGGCCACTGGACACTGATGTGTGCCCGCTGTTTTCAGCTTGCCTGGAGGGCGAGGGGGCCGCGGCTGGAGGTGGACCAGAGGCGAAGTTCCCCTGCCCCCTTGCCATGTGGGAGCTCGGACACTGCGATCCCAAGAAGTGCACCGGGAGAAAACTGGCCCGGAAAGGGTTACTCCGAACCATGCGTCTCCGCCAGAGGTTCCCAGGCGTCGTCCTCAGTCCGCTGGCCACGGAGTACGTCTCTCCCGCTGACAGGTGAGGCCCCGTACCTGCTGTCGCGGGCTGTGAGGGGAAGCACTTGTTTCAAGTACCGTCCTGATGCTGTATTAGGGAGAACGTTTTAACCAGTTTCGTGGCCAGAACTCTGATACAGAATAGATTTGACCTTCCCATGACATTACACTGATGCATGAACATGAGAAACAGAGCCATTTCTTCAAATCAGGTTAACACTTTTACATAGCTGGTATCAGCTGAGAAAAGTTTCTGGAGATCTGAATGAGAAATCAAGGTACACGTAGTAGGTTAATTTGTTCAGAGCACGGGCCTATAGCTGCTGTCTTTTTATGATGCCATATTTAAGTTCTACACTAGGCAGCACAATGCATTAACTAAAAAACTTTTTGAGGGAAATGAGAATTTTTTTCAAATGTGCCTGCAGAATTTTTATAAAGATGTATTTCCTCAGAGAAAAGATTTGTCTTTAGAAGTTAGCAGAGAACCTCAGTTTGAATTTTGGTGTACTTTACGACTGTGAACATTACTATTAATTGCACTTGTCTGTCACATTATTAAACCTAGAGGCTTTCACATTTTACTTTGAAACATATGGATAAACTTTTTACCACATGCATGTTTGAAGGAAACCCATGTTATAATTCTTTCTCATTCTGTCTTTCTCTGTTCTCTATTTTAGGTCATGATTGACACAAGTGGGGATTGTATGCAAATTTGTTGCTAGTATAAAGTGGCAATTGGAATTCTCACTTCATCAATATAATGGTGACAATTTTTCAAATACAGTGATGTTTCTTTTTTTTAGGCATGTCATTGTTCAGAGTGGAATTGCAGTCATAGATTGCTCATGGGCCAAATTAGAAGAAACTCCCTTTAAGAGAATGAGGGGGAATCATCCTCGGTTGCTGCCTTACTTGGTGGCTGCAAATCCTGTAAACTATGGTCGGCCGTGCAAGTTGTCCTGTGTGGAAGCTTTCGCTGCAGCATTTTGCATTGTTGGTAGGCTCAGTTTGTCTGATGTGAAGTATGTTGCCAGCAACTCTTGCATCCTTAATAAATCAGAAGAGATGATCAGCAATAAAATAAACTGTAATGCTGTCCCACTGGTTATCAGTTTGCTGAGTTTGGGATCAGATTGCCTAGCTTTCTTCCAAGTTCTTGCATCTGGTAGCATTGAGGTACCTGTGGAGTGTTCATGTCAGCTACTAAACAGGACACATGAACTAAATCCTGTTGTTGTCTTGATGGTGCATAATGTTAGAAAAACTGCTAAAAAAAAGCCAGAGAAGACAGAATATGAATCCTTAGGCGCCTTTGCCTTATTGAGAGGTAGCAGCTGTCTGTTACAGGGTGGGTTCTGGGTAAGAACAAAAGAAATTGCACCTTCTTGTGATGTTTTGCAAACTCATCACAGAACCTTGACAATTGAAGAGAAATACTCTACCACATTGCAGACAAATATTACTTTCTGGTCATACTGTATGTGCACATGCTCTTGTACTGAAGGACTGTGGGACCTAGAGCTTGAATCATTTGTTACCTGTACTAAGTATTTTTATGTAACATTCACTAAAAGGCTATGAACTCTTCTTGGATTCAGTTAGATATTTCAAGTTAAACTGAAATTTAAAAAATATTAAAAACATTTTCAGAGTCTTAATCCCCTAACGCTGAAAAAAATGCTGGCAAACATCTGTTTTAGTGATAGTAGGTATGTACTGAACTTAGAAACCTGTAGGCTGAGTGAAATCTCACACTGAAAAAGAAAACTGATAATTTATTTTCTATTTTAGGCTTCCCAGACCTAGCCACCATTCTTCTGAGGAAATTTAAATGGGGTAAGGCATTTATTGACTTGAACAAAAATCTCTTGGAAAAATATGCAGCCTGTCGTAGCCAGGACGATGTGCTAAGCATTGAGAAGGACTTTTTAACCAGTGTCCAAGAAACAAAAGATGAAGAAGCAGGTAAGAAAAAAAAACAGGGACACCACACACCCCTTTTTCCTAACTACTTTCCTTACAGTCTTTTGCTTTGATCTCATGAAAATATTGGCAAGGTGGAAGATAAGTGCCTTGTTGAGATATGTTCTGCTATCCTTGTATTGTGTATTCTTATAAGAAATTTTACCCATTTTTTTTCAACTAAAATAGATGAAAATGACTAAAGCAACTCAATGCATAGAGTAGTGCTTTCCCAGCTGAACCGTGAAGCAGATACCCTGATACAAGTAAGGATACTAAGTAAGAAAAAAAGTAAGATACTTAGTAAGAAAACTAAGGAGCAAAAATATGATGCATCCTTTTTTTATCCACAGATGTTAAAAGCTGAATATGAGTAAAAAGACTAGTAATTGAGAAGGAACTGTAATAAAAATACGACCATACAGTCTGACAGCAAATTAGTTATACATAAATCTAAGAAAGACCTTCAATTAACACAATTATATAGTCCCCAATCAAGATGTTTCAGATCAGACCTATCAAGATAATTAAAATCATCTATAATAAGTACAAGTAGTTTATTCCCAAATTCTTCCAGTAAGTTATTCGAATCGCAGTATTTCAAGCTATATTCACAGGTGACTGCTTGGTCTCATTCAAGACAGCACAAAGAAAGAAAAATCAAGTAATCAAGAACATATGAAAAGAGATGCTCCTAATTAATATTTTCCTGTCACAGTGGTTAAGCCCTGTAAAACAGGCCAGGGGCTGTAAGGAGAGAGCCTTTAATTGCTCTGAACTTTGATTTCTTTGCCATTACACACTAGAACATGACGGAATGAAACCATCCTGTTGCTTGGTGGAAGCCTAACCAGTTACATTAAACTGAAGATTGTTCTTAAGGGTCAACAAGACTATGCCAAATAAAGCACACTTGAACCTATGCACTTTCTGGATGGACTTCAGTACCAAAGCTATCATGCCTTGTTTGACTTTTATGTGGTAACAGTTCTCCCCAGGTGTCTAAGCCACCTCCCCTCTCTTTTCCAGCTCCCCTGGTTTCTGATCAAACAACTGCGGTAAACTTATCAGAAAGACTGACCCAGACTTCCTAGGCCTTCCCCTCCCTGCCAGTAATCTTCTGTGAAAATGAGGGCAGACCATTAAAATAAAAAAAAAAATCTTTTTCATCATGTGCAGTTTTTCTTCCTTTTTCCAGATCCATTTGATGTTGACTCAGGAAAAGAGTATTCTAATCCCAACAGGCCAGTCAATTCCCCAGGGTAATGAAATTTAATTTAAATACTAGTTTTTCTTATTATAAGTTACTTTGCTTTTATAACCCTGAAAAATGTTTCCAGTCTAGCACAAAGCAAGAAAGACTCTGAGGAGGACAGCACGAGCACTCCAGAGGATGCCACTGAAAGCAGTGAAAGCAGTGATGAGAGCAGTCCAGAAGATCATGGTACTGTAAAGATTACTGCAACAGCTGCCAATAAATCAACTGTTTGAAAACTGACAAACAAAATCAAACCTAATCCTCCTCAAGAAACAAAAACTTCCACATACAAGAACATCCCCAGTAATCCCGAAGAGTTGTAACATCTTGTATAAAGAAATTTCATTATGAACTTGTGTCTTGTTCACCTGTAACTTGGTGCTTAGCTAACCTCTGTGTGCGTTTATATATAGGTCTTTCATGAGAGCTCCAGTTATTTAATTTTTAGGTAACTATGGAATGTTAATTATTTTGTAAGGAGCCTGAAGCTTACTTAGTAGTTTAAAAAAAAAATTCCTTTATTCTAATCAATGTGTCTGGAAAGTGGTTTATAGGGATTATTTTACTTAATGATATATTAGGTAAACCTTTCTAACTTCTGGGCTGTATTTCGATAGGAAAACATGACTTAAGCTACTGCCCTGTTCAGAGGACCTGCCACATAAGGTGCCTCTGACTTTGCAGGCTTGAACCTGCCATGTGTATTTCAACCACTTCTTCTAGTTTTTAAGAACTGACTGCCTAAGCTTATAAAAGGAAAAAATGCTTCCTGGAATTCCTTTAACATCTCAGTGTGTCTTCAGTAACTTTACTTGCTCCTGTTTACTCTCATACAGTCCTAAGTAACACGATGTTTTGGGACTTCATATTCAGAACTGTGCCATAAAATGTCACGTGGCAGGTTTAGCAGTGCTGTCTCGGTGCGTTCTCAGCACTCCGAGAACACTGCACCAAGTCATAAATACACACTGTCTGGCCCTTAAAGGTTTGAATCAGAGACTCGTACCAGCACTCGTACCTTAGGCCACTTTTCCACATGCTGCCAGTTTGTATAGTGAAAGTGAGCCAGTAGCAGGTTTTTTTCTGTACCTTTAAATAGAATACGCTGAAGTTTCTAGTACCCAACTGAAACTTACTTAAACCTAAATTTCAGCAACCCTTCATCAGAATTGGAGATACTAAGGGCAATTTGTAGACTCACCTTCTCAGATCAAAGTGCTTCAAGTCACAGCAAGACTTTCTCCTCTTAACCCTCTACCACTAGAGAGATTAAATGCCAGCCCTGTTGGAGCTAGAGCTGAGAGGAACAGCAGAAGTTTGAGTGGTGCAAATATTCAATTTACCTTTTAAAAAAAAATTTAAAAAAGAAGCACAAGTAACTCAGCAGGGAAAATTTTCCTTTGATTCAGTTTCTGAATGACTCACTGTCCCACCCATATGAAGTCTTTTCCAAGTGAGCTGTTTCAACAAGCATTTCTAGATAGGGACAAAGCAATCCTACAAAATTTTTTAAGGACTGAGAATAATGAGGGTGTTAGCAATTCTAATTTGGAGGAACACTTTTATATTATAAAGCCATAGTAATCAAAATGCAGACAAGCAAAACAGATCTGGGAACTGAGCTGTAAAACACTTAGATTAACTTAAGTCTTGAGCAATAGCCATTTTTTAGTAACAAAAGCCCTGAAGGAACTATGCCTCAGATGGAACAAAGCTTTTAACAATTTGTTCTGCAGAATGATTTTGACTAAAAAATACAATTAAAAAAGGCAGTGAAAGTTTAATAGAGGGCATATCAGCTTGACATACATGAAAATAACTTACATAATTTAACTGATTTCCTTTACAGAAGGAAACTGTAATTGCATAGATCACGTCCTCGTCCTTAAAGCTATATACATTGACATACGGAACAAGGCACAGAATTATGTGATAAACAAAACCATTTAAAATCTCCAGTTTCTGTAGGTTCCCTTAAATTCCTTGGATGACTTCTATTATTGTTCGTATCAGTCTAATGCTTATGCTAACATGGTCACACCAGTTTGCTGGTCCCATGATGATGCACAGTAAACAACTGGTTTCCAGTGAGTCAGAATTCTGTGTGCTGCCTAAAGGAACTGATCAGAGGTGACTTGCTGCAGATACCACACAGTGAAGGGCCACATTCATGTTGGGGGTTGGGGCAGGGAAAACAAATGAAGACATCGTCTAAACAAAAGGTAACTGCAGCATCACAGGCCTTAAAGACAGGACTTGCACTATATTGTGTTTAGAGCCACTTAAATGGCAGTCTTTCAGTCATTTTAATGAAGATAAATGAAACAAAGCCCTTTATATAAACAGTTTATTTACTCTAAACAGCAACACAGACAATGCCATATAAACACAAAGGAAGTGATGCAGAATAAGGATGCTGGCTAACTTTGGATCTTGGAGGCTCTTAAGCAATAACAACCTAGTTTCTGAAAGATAGAAAAAAACAAATTCAGGGAGGGAAGGGGGTGCAGGGCATGATGTTTTTCATACAGCCAGCTAAAGGCTAAATACAGTTCTAACATTTTAAAGCATGCCTGCATCAGATAGCAAAGTAACTAGAGATACTAGTGAATTTATAGAAGTATAAAAGTTTATCATTTTACAGCAGTTGAAATACTGACATCAATATTAAAATAAAAGCAAGTTTTACATAACAATCAAAAATACAAAAGACTGAAGGAAGAGACCCTGTATGAAAAAACTGGGGGCAATTCAGCAAATTTAGAACTGTATACAAGTGGCGAATATGGAAAATGGCACACATACAACCCCCTCCCCTAAGTGGATATTAATTGTACATAGCAACATTAGATTTTGCAAAAGTTTTGTAAACAAGTTCTTGCCAAACCAATCCCTTCCTTTTTAAGATGCTGCATGACAAATGCTTATGATGGTGCAAACTTCTTGGCTTGTGCTCGAACCCTCTTTTCATATTCCACTCTGTTTTGGCTGAAAAGAGAAAGCGTAATTACAGCTGGAGAAATCAGAGGCCATATTAGAGAGTTAGTTAGTTTCATATTGAAGGGAAATAGAAGAGTAAGTCTTTGCTGAAGGCCAAACCATCAGATAGGAATTCACTGAACACTACAATAGATTAAAAGATTTTCTGGACCATTACTTTAATAATTTACTTTGGATAGAAGTATGGTACTGTTCAACTCATCACTTCTCAAACATCACCTGTTGTCAAATGACTGCACTACCTGACTTCATACTACTCCTGTCTCCACAAACAGGCTTGTGCCTGCTCTTTCTCAAGGCCAGCGGTACCTCACGTGCAAACATTCTCTTTCATCTCAAGTTTTCCACTCCTCACTCGTGTTAAGACATGAGGTCATTAACAACAAATTCCAGGAACCCAACAGCACAAAGTCGTCGATGAGAGCAGTTCACTAACAGTTGGTGGACTTAAAATGATTTTAAAGTATCACCTTTACTGTTGTGGAGAGAGAATGGAACTACTCTTTAAGAAATGGGAAAATAATAGTGGTGTGGTAATTTCAGCCTGAATCTCTGCAGACCTTGACTCACAGCTTTGGGTTAGGATCCTAATCTTCAGTTGGAAAAAAAAACCGAAAAGATAGCTCAACACAGTTCACTAAGTGTACCATACTTGCAACAGGATTGATTAAACAAGCAAGTATTACTTGAGGGAACTCTGCCCAGTCATTAAGCCTCAGACTCAAGATGTAAAAGGGCGAGTTCTTTGTTTTCTATTCCTCGTCCAACAAGGAACGGTAGTAGCTTAGTAGAGCATCCATTTACATTCATTTGTCCATTTTGTATTAGCTGTCAGTCAAGAGCTAAACAAAAATTTGTTACCATTACTCTTGTGCCAAAGGTAGTTTACACTGACTAGATTTTGCAGACAGTTTTGCAGGAAATTTAAATTACTTTCGGCTATGAAGGCTTGCTGCAGTGAAAACAACAAAAGAAGACAGCAAATTATACCCTCAAAACTTGACAAATTAAGGGGGAAAAACAAATGAAACAAATTTTGGTCAGATTCAATGAGCAATTACCAGCAAACAGACTGAAGATACTCTATACATATTTACAAGCTTTATTCTTTTTTTTCTGTAAGTTATATTTCATTGTCATAAAAGAACACAGTGTAGCTGTTAAGTCTCACACCCACAGAATGCACCCAGAAGAATGCCTTCCCTAGTAGACCCTGCATGGCTGCAGCAGAGGGGGAAGCAGGTGAGCACATCAGGAGTGTGAAAGTTACAGAATGACATTACCAAAGCAATCCTGAGAATGAGAACAAGTACTCTCATCTTAAATACAAAGTTTATTCTTGGAAAATGAACAGCTTGACTTAAAGACATCTATTTAAACAATGCTGTATCTTCCCCCGAATTGATCAACTATGCCACATTACAGATGCATGCGCAATCCTGCTCTGTCTACAAGTTACTAAGTAGTAAGAGACACTCAGACTGCAAAATTATAGGAACACATCTAAAATAAAATGCACGTCCAAGAGACATGAAGAAAGATAAATGAAGACTATACATGAAGCAACAAAAATCATGTACTTGTTTAATCTCAATAGATTTTTTTCCCCCCTGAGAAGGTCTTAAAGCAGAAACAAGACTAGTCAAGACTCCCATATGTGCCTGTGGGAGGTGATTAAAAAAAATAAAGACTATACATGTATAAAAGTATATTATTCCTGCCCAAGATTCCCTCAGAGTGGCTTTTTTTTTTTTTTTTTTTTGATGAGGCCTGTCCCATCATTCCTGGCTCTCAAAGGTGCTCCCTGCAACTGTGGCCACTTAACTGTCCTCTGTATGCACTTGGCTCCAACAAGTCTTCAGTAAGTATTTAAAAAAATAACAGGGAGTGAAGCCTTTAATTAAATGCAAGCTACACATCCCTATATTTTCTTTTCCCTAGGATCCTATAAAAAGACATTTTTGACACATCTTGCACGTGCAGTCTCATACAATGCTATTTTTCAAGCGTGGCAATCTCATGGAGGCCGCCTCTGTCCAGAACAGTAATTCCACGTTTCTATCTTGGTCATTATTTCAGTAGCTGTCAGTGCCAAAAGCATTTGTTTAAAGTGGTTTTCTCCCCTAAAGATTATAGAACAACTGCCCACTTTTAAAGGTGGGAAAGTTATTAAGATTAACCCTTTAAAAAGAAAAAAAAGTTCTTTTTAGCTCAAATTTTTCCAACAACTTTCCCAATGAATGCAAACTTCATTCAACTAAAGCTACAGGTGGTCTGTACTTTCTAATCCGTTCTTTTGGGAAATGTAACTTTCACAAAACACCCTGTTTCCTATAGCACTCACAGCTCTCATTTATCTTCAGGCACTAGTGTTTTCAGGTACCCACTCCTGGAGGGAAGTAAGTTACTCCGAGACTGATAAATGTTACTTGTCACCTAATTCAGTCTCCTCTACCCCAGTCTCATGACACCATTATGCCTCATTACTACTACCCAGCCTTTAGGGGAAGGGATTCTGTGCTGGGTT